GGGGGGGGGGGGGGGGGTCGGTACGAAGAAGTCATGTTTTATGGTACCCTTGTACACGCCTTTTTTCTTTCCCTGTGGGTGGGGAAAAAACGGAAGAGACGACAAAAGACTCGTGCGCATGCTTTTCGCGTCGTGGCCTCAAAGCCACCTCCGCCAGTGCCTTCAAGAGATCATCAAATCCGCTGACACCTAAACGCTGTCGCTGTTGTCACTGCTGTCGGCGGTGGTTCGCGACAAGCTCATCGTCCAGGACCTAACCACGAAATAGAGAGACTATGGGTGACGTAAGATACCGCACCCCCTGGACCGATTTTCAAAGCAGCAAGAGGGGGGGGGGTGTACTCATAGTCGTGCATGCCATAGTCGTTTGACCATTGACCTCGCATCCCTACAAAGCCGGGACGGAGCACGCCGGATTCTCACCGGACCAGGCTCTCACACCACCAAGCGCGAAGCGCCGTGAGGTATTTGGCGAGTCGCATGAAGGGTGAGCTGCATCCTGCTAAGGGTGTTCGGCATCTTGTGCTTACTTCCTTGCGTACGGATGACAGCTACGTATGACTTAATTTATTTTCTGGTGCTTTCAAGAGGGGCGGTGCCGAAACGCGGCGTCGGAGCCGTCTTGTCGAGAGCTTTTCCGACGAAAACGCACCCTTCCATTTTGCGTCCTCGTTGTCGTGGATCATCCCCGAGCTTTGAAATGCGGTCCAGGGGTGTGTGGTGCCTTACGTCACCCACGCGGTAGAGCTTCGTTCAGACGAAACTCCCTCCCGCGCCCCGGCCAAAAAAAAAAATCCAGCCGGTTTTCGTCCCCATTCAACTGGAAATGCTTTGCAACCCATCCCCTTCAACTGAAGAAAAAAAAAAAAAAACTTTGACTACCGTAATGCTGTGGTTATATCTCGAACGGGTAGTGTCTCTTTGATTGGATGCTAAAAGAGGTCGCACCTCGTCGAACGATCTCGTGCAGAAGGTCGGAGGCGGCAGCACTCTATCCTTGAGGTCCCCCCCCGGGTCGAACGCAGTACTTTAGGAAACCCCCCGTTTCCGCTCCTTTGCCGCCGTTTTTTGCCGGCCCTTATGTCCCTTTGGTTGGGCCCACTTGAGGGCGCAGCGCGGTGGACTTGAAGGATTGCTTGCACACGTCCACCTTATGGGGGGGTTGGGGGGGGGGGGGTCACCGGGATTGGTATTAGCTTGTTGGTGTTGAGCAGAGATGTTGGCAGCACGCACACACACAGGAGAAGCAGCAGCAACAGTTTAACCATCACCATCATAGTCAACAACAACCACTACATAGCAGCGATATAGCAGCAACAGACACAGCAGCCGCAGCGGCAGCAAATAGCAGCAGCAGGCACAACACACCGGCCCTACCTTGTAAGAGTTCGATCCCGTGTCCACGCTCGTCTCGTGCGGGTTCTGCATGCTCAGGCGGAAGGGGTGGGACTCATTGTACCACCCGGTATCCCTCTTGTTGTAGAACCCTCCTCCCCCTTCCCCCAGGAGCGTGATGCCTGCTCGCGGGCCGACCAGCAGCACCACGCGTCAAAAAACAAACGGACAACAGAAAAGACCGGTGATTTGACCAATCGAGAGAAGGGGTGAAGGCCGGCGGGGAGACGCAGACGAGACAAGGAGGGGGGGCGTACTCATTTGTTGCTTGCCGTAGTCATGTGACCATTGACCACGCGTCCCTTTCGAGACGGAGCACCGTTCCTATCCCTACTAGAGACACCACCAACACTTGGGAGCTCTTTACGTTTCTGCCGCAAACTCCATAAAAAATTCTTGCACATCTTATCCCCGTCCTCTAGGGCCTCTTGTGCCCACCATCTATCACCAATTATCGCGATCGTTTTTTCTCTGTTGTCTAATTTACCAAACTTGTCCATGTCCCCCCCTTTTTTTTTTTTTTCCTCCTCGAGATCCTTTTTTTCCTTCCTGTACAACTCCCCCCCCCCAACTATGGGGGGTCTCCTCCCCCCCGTTTTGGGGGGGGGGGGGGGTAGCGGGCGGACACAATAAGAGGGAGGGGGCGTACGTACTCATTCCCTGCTTGGCGTTGCGTCTCGAGGGCATCCGGGGAATCAATTCGGAGTGGGTGGGCACGGGAATTCCCATTTGTTTCTTGCCACAGACGTCGCACTACTTATGACGATTGATTGTTGACCGCGCCTCATCATGCGCCTCGTCTCCCATCATGCGGAACATTTCCATGTAGCGGTCTAGTTGGCCAAACGTCGATCATGTCAAACCCATCCACTTGCCCAAACTACGTTGGACAGATATATACTCAATATTGCATTTTTTTCAAGTTATGTACGGGGGGGGAGGGATGCGAGGCTTAACGCAGACATGCCGTCCGTCCGGCGCACATCCGCGCCAGAAAGAGACAATGTGAAAAAAAATTCGGAGGAGGAGTATTGCTGGTGTCAACCTAGTTTCCGTATACACACCGCAGAAACACGACTCTGTAGAGGCCCTCGTATAACACGAACAGATCGAGAGAGGTGTGGAGGGGGGGGGCGTTCTTCATGAAACTGTCAAGTCCAGAGGGTGTGA